AACAAAAACATTTTCGTCTTTCTTTTCTTTGGGCTCACGTAAACCATTCTACAAGACCATCTTTTCTGATTGCCCCCAGCAGTCCAGAACATTTACCAGCGGTCAATTCAATGTTTCCAAAAAAAAACTCTGAGACGACCGGTCATTCTTTATAGCTTTGAACCTGTACATTAAAAAGGATGCTTACAACTTAAAATATCCCAGTACTCCTTTCTATGCATTCTTTTGAACTGTATAAACTTTCTTTCCCGCCTTTGGCCATCTTGTAAGAACAGGTGTTTGGGATGAGTTTCTTGTTACTGTTTGATTAAAGTTTACTCAAGTTTTATAAACAGATGTCTTTGATTTTTAGCTATCTTAATATATTTTATTTTATGCACTTGTTGATTGACCCCTTTCCTCATTGTTCATTGCATATTTATTTTTTTTACTTTTCTTGTAGACCAGAAAAATACTTATAATAAAACACTGCACGCCTTCAACTTAAAGAAGTGCATGGTCAGAAGGGCAGCAGGTGGTATGAAAAGGAATGTATGATATTGATGTCCCTTCATTCTCTCTTCTTGATTATGACATAATAATGTGCCAGTTTTTTGATTGAGGATGCATCCACGATGTCTTGTGACAAATTTGTAGTAGGTGTTTGAAACAACACTTGATTTCATTGAGAAAAAAAGCATAAGCTTCCATAAGATGCGATGAGCCAGCAAGACAAATTTCATTGAGAGCAGCTATGTTAATGTTGTACTTATTCAGCTCAAGAAAAACTAATGCTGTTTTTTGTTACCAATTCACTGTCTTGGAGTGTGCGTACATTCCGACAACCAAGGTTCAATTTCTTCTTGTTTGGACTTCAATATAACATAACCAGTCAACTGCAACTGACTACCAAGTTGAGATTGTGGGTAAGCAATGTTTAGGCCTCCTTTTCTCACACACTTCCTGGATTGAGGAAAGCAGTGGAGTATATAATTATAGCGAAGAAAACAGCGGCTTACCTCATCAAGCCAAGCGACAGCGCGTCACGTGTATTTTACGACAGAAAATGTGACGAAAAAGAAAATTACTTACCAAACAAAAGGGCACGTATTCAGCATGACATGCTGAAAATGGAATATTTGAATTAAAAAACAAGTCTGTCGCAGGAGTCGCTATAAAGTATGTTGATATGCAAATTACTGAACATCCTCTCCCAGCTGTCGACGAATGGAAAAGAAAACGTTCGGCCGATAAAAGCAGTTGGTGTTCTCGAATCGGGGGTAGGGGTAGGAGTCGGTGATTTTGGTTGCCGAGGGAGTTATTTTTCTGACTGGTTGCGTGCATTGTGATTTGTGAAATAGTACTTGTGAATCGAGTTTCGGCATTTTCTTTCTGTCCGTGATGTTTGAGTCTGAACTTAGTGATTAATTCTCGGCGAAGTGGAAATAATCTGCGACAAACATTTCCTTTGCAATCCAGATCGCTTACAATAATAGACCTGCTTTGTCATCCCTGGAGGCCACAAACAGCATATCGCTCACAGGTTTGTGCTAGAACAGCCATTACCCAATGGTTGCCACTGAGTAGAACTCCAGCTAAAGACTTTCAATAATATCCTTTACCTGTCCCCGCCGCCCTAACTATATTGCCAGAGGACTTGATGTAAGTAAATGTGTGGAACCGAGCTAAAGGAAGTTGTTAGAAAAGGATTTGATTATATTGGTGAAGGTGTGTGCAGGACCATCCACACTTTTTGCAACTACTCAGAACACAGAATCAGTGCAAAAGATTGCCACAGAAACAGTGAACAGACCTCAGGTTTTATTAATCTCCGGAACAACCACTAACAACACAATACAGTGCCTTTTGACAAACTATGTTGAAAGCAGCAAGCTTTGGATGCCATGAGTTTTTCTTCTCAACCATTGAGGGAAGGTGGCTTTTGGGAGCACCTGAAGTTTGTGTCTTCTATTCTTGTTATTTTTTATCAATTGATAGCTTAGGTGTTAGTTCTGTCAAAAAGTCATTACAAATGATTTTTTTGTATGTTAAATAATGATTCATCTCCAAGTATTTTAGGCTTAAATCCTGATATATATTTTCATTATTTTGGGGTTTCTGCTGTTTCTAAGATTAACAAACTTTTATATATTTGTTTGTTTGTGTACCATTTTGTAATTTGTGTTGCTTTCTAGCGTTTTTCTCTACCTATCATTTTATGTACTTACACAAAAAAAGAGTTTTTTTTTTTTTTTTTTTTTATATATGTGTGTGTGTCATGAGGAACTTGAATGCAATACCATCGGATTCTCTGTCTCCTAGTAGGGTCACCTATGGTGATAAGAGTTCAGGAAGAGACCATACTAAGCATAATCAGATGCTCTATGGGTAGACGGTCAAGTTAACATTTTACTTACAAGAACACACACACACACACACACACACACACACACACACACACAATAAATGCAAATGTCAGTGTGTCACTGTGTCACACTTTTCAAATTTACTCTTAGAGGCTGTAGCCCAACATATCATGCAATTTTGGAATCAGACTGACTCTGCAAGCAAAATTAAGTGTTCCAGGCCAGATCTGGACCTGCAATAATGAAATTTTGGTTTCCAAGTTTTCATTACTAAGATTGTTTTTACTGGTGAATTTTTTTTTTTTTTTTTTTTTTTTACCTGATTTTGTGACTTTTTTTATTTTTGTATGATAACATATTTGATGATTTGGAAATAAATTTGGGAATAATCAAAATTAATTGTGAAATCCAGCAGAAGTCACCCATGATATAAAAATAATTGCTTGTACGGAAGGTAACAACCTATGTACATAAAATTGTCTTTAAATTAAGTGGCGGCATAAGAATTATCATTGAACTTTTAAAAGGTAAACTTATATATTAATGCAATACCTAAATGCATTGATCAATTTTAAGTTCTTCTGTAGTTTATTATTGCCTATCGCATCTACTCCTCCCTACCTATTGTGATGAAGACCCAATCAAGAGCCCACTGCAGCAACTAACTTAAATGCTGCCTGATAGGGTGGGTTTTAATATATATATATATATATATATATATATATATATACATACACACACACACACTTTAACATTTTTTATTTTTTTTTTAATATTCTATTGTAAGGTCTAATCTTTTTGACAAATTGCAGTATGTTATCTGGTTTAATGTTTTCAAAAATATCTCTAAGATTATTCATTCTGTAATACTTGTTTCGGATTTTCTGGAAGCTGCAACATTCCAACAGTATGTGCCTGACTGTATACGTTTCAGGATATGGTATACATATTGGTAGGATTTCATTTCTCAGTAAATGTCTGTGAGTAATGTATATATCCAATACAGAGTCTGGAGGGAACCAACTCTCTTATCTTTCAATAGCCAAAGAAATATTCACTGATGATTGGCTGAATATTATGTTGCCATTTTTCTTTAATAATGTTATTAATGGTTAGTCAGAGATCATTATATGGGATTTTTGTGTTTGATAGTTTCCATATTTAGTGACTTCTTTGTCAGCCTTTTTTTCCCTGAATGCCAATATGACTTGGTATTAAAACTGAATTAAAGAATTGTAAATTCAGAAAATTTCAATGCATATCTTATAATAAAATTAGATTGTTTTTCTGAATCTTATAAACTTTTTTTAATGTAACCAATTCAAAAAGAAAAAAATACTAGCAATTAAACCAATCAGAAACAAAATGGTCAATTTACCTTTATGATTTTTTTTTTGTGTGTGTGTGAGTGTATATATATATAATATATATATTATATATATATATATATATATATATATATATATATATATATATACACACACAATCAAATGTTTATATGAGGATGGAGGGAATCTCATTAAAGGTCAATTTAGTATTTCTGTTTACTATCTCTGATAAAGTATATATACATTTTAGAATAATTCTAATGAAATTTATATTTTGGTGAAATTTTAAATTTTTCTTTCTTGATTTGTCAACTAGTTGTTGTAACACTTTACGATTATATCCTTAAAAAACACACACAATGCTTGAAGTTTCAATGACATTAAATGCTTGCCCATAAATATAATAAATTTACTGTTTTCAATATTTCTTACTGAAATGGATTCTCCATATATGTATTAGGTTGGTGCAAAAATAATTTCGTTTTCTAACATATGTTACTATGTGAGAAAACGAAATTATTTTTGCACCAACCTAATATATGCCATCAATTCTAATAGGTTACCATTATTACTTATCTAGTAAATTAAGAGTGTGCTAGATGCAAAACATGGAATTTTGCACAAACAGTATTTTAGATGGACACTTAGTGTTACAGTTATCAGTATAAAACAGGGAACCAGCAAGCTTAGTTCAAATTTCAGTGTAGAGTGTAGTCTGTCCCATTCACTTTCACACTAATGCTTATGAGAAAAGCAAAATTACTTGTAAAATAAACATCCAATATTTATGTAATAAGTAGTTTTCTCACTTTGTTTATCCAGAAATATTTGTAAACAGAACTTAGAATTTTCAGTTAAAACCTTCATTTTGAATATATGGTAAAAATTAAACTATGAAGCAAACTTGAGATGACAAAATTTCAAGTGTACAATTCAGTGGTTAACACAAAAAATGATTTCAACAGCTGATGACCAAATATATTCACATAATCATTATTCTGAACAAATAAGAGTATTTCAAAAAATTATTTTTTCAGAGTGGTTACTCTTCTATATAATAAATGTGAATGTCAGGGCTTCACTGTGCCACACATTTTCAACTTTACTTTTAGAGGCCGTAGCCCAACATATCATGTCATTTTAGAATTAGGCCAAGTCTGTGAGCAAATTAAAAACATTCCAGGCTGGATCTGGACCTATAAACCTGAAATTTTGGATTCACAAGTTTTCATTACTGTGATTGTCTTCGGCAATTTTTGTACATGTTTTTTGCAACAAATTTTTTTGTATGATAACAATTTGATTTGGTCAATTTTTTGTTTTACAGCATATTGGTTCCAGTCACAACTACCGTAATAGTCAAATGGCTCTTCAGGCAATCCGTGATGCAGGTTACGATATTTCTCTTGGGTTTATGCCCAAATCTATTGGACCACTTACATTTATTTTCACTGGATCTGGTAATGTATCTCAAGTAAGTTGAAATTGGATTTTTAAAAATATTCAGATTAAAGTACCATAATTTGTTTAAAAAAAATTTTTTTTAATCATTTCACCCCAATCAAGGCAATAAATCCACTAAGATGCATGGGGCTAGTGAGTGTAAGAAAACATGAGAAAAAAACAAAAAATATTGACATCAAAAATTTTGAAAATCAAAGTCAACTGGAAAACAAAAAGTTGGAATAGAATTCCATGAGTGAAGAGTGCCAAAGAAGAAACTTTTTGCATAAAACTTATGGTCACATTTAGCCATTTCAACTGTAAAGAAGAACATTTAGGAGACAATAGAAAGTTGTAGCAAGCCATGATTGCTCATGTCTTTATTTTATTTATTTTTAACTAAATTACTGCATTTTTACAGTATTTCTCTGGATTTATTAAATGCTTAATTGCCCTGTTTTTCTTTTTGTACATTGGGATATTTCCTTAGGATAGGGTATAGTGTAACTTTTTTCTTTTGTTTTTAAGAAGTAATATGATTCTTGTAGCTTCTTTTATTTAAAAGGTTCAGGTATTCTATTGAACATACCAGTTATTCAAGTTGTCTCCATATTTCATGTTTTTTAAAACTCCATTTGACAGATTGCTTCAAAAAGATTCTGTTGGGTAGATCTCTTGCAAAGTTTGATGTACCAATAATAAGAAAAGTCACTATTAATTAAGTTTAATTACTAAATTCTCATTTCTCTATTTCTATGAATAAAGATTATCTTTAAATTCTAATCTCTGCAATTTTCAGATGTTCAAAATAATTTTTTTTTTTCATGGTCAATGTACAGTGTGCCCCTTGCCCAAGCTTCCCACTGACCAGCCAATGATTACTTCACATTGTATTTTAATTCTCAATCTAATTGGTATGCATTGAAAACTGGGAAAGAAATGCCACATAAAGGAATATGAATGCAAACCCTGTTTCCCATATTATAAAATAGATGTTTTATTCAGGGTCTTCACCTGCTCATCTAGATGGGTAGATAGGTTGTACTTTGGATATCTGTTGCTATGTTGATTTAACAGCTCAGCTTTTACTCCTACCAATTCCTTGCCCATCTACTAATGTGTTGATTGGCAATACAAATGGACAGCACAGGTATCACCCTATGGACATGTCAGTCTCTCTCCCACCAAGGGCAGACCAGTAATCTCCCCAAATCTCAAGCACGACTGCTAATATAGACCAGCACTCTGATATACTCTATTTCTGGTTTTGTTGCCACTTGATCTCCAAAAACCTCTAATGCACACCTTTAATTCCCATTCTCCTTTGGTCAAAGTGGGTGCCGTTTAGAAGACAAAACTTCAAAAGGAACTATCAACTGGTCCATCAAACAGAAGCACTTGAGATCAAGATAAAACAACCTCTTCTCCTTCTATGTGAGTGTCCATATTACTAATTAAAATAATATATTTTTTATTTTATTTTTATTCCAGGGAGCTCAAGAAGTTTTCCAAGAACTTCCTCATGAATATGTAGAACCAGAATACCTTCCCAAAGTGGCTCAACAAGGCGGTAAGAAACTCTTTAAACAGAACTGATTTGTTAATGTTTAATTTTCATTGATAAGGAATCCATTTTCACTAATTTTAAAGCAGTTCACCTGCTTAACAAAAATCTATTGATTCTTGCTAAAAAGAATTTATACACAAATTTATTCTGATTAGTGTCCTCATCTTTAGTATCCTCACAATGTTTCAGATGTTTCTCCTCTGGTTTTCTTCGGGTAACCATTTCAGAATTTTAATCTAAACCTTTTGTTCAATCTGTAGTAGTAAATTGACTGTTAGAATTGGTACAAGATATCTTCTATTTAGTTAATTCAGCTTGTAATTCTGCTTATACCAGAATATATGACTTCTTTTTTCTTATACCACCTGCCTCAGAGATTGAACTCACAGTTTCCAGGTAATTTGATTTGCTTAACAAACACCTCTAGCCACTGCCAAAACATTTAGTGATATTGTGAGGTCTTTCTGGATTAGTAGTAATATTTCACACCAGAAGTATATATGTGAATGCTTGTTTTTTTTTTCTCTCTCTCTCTCCCCTCTTTCACTCTCATTTACATAAAGCATCATTGATCTTATATAAATTTAGTGTATTGAAAAATGATCACGCTTTGCTTAAACTGATAGTACTGTGAAAAGAACAATGATTATGATTTATTTTGTTAAGTAAATATCTTTAATTTGTTGGACATTGGTAGTATTAAATGAATCAATCAGTAATGAAACAATGGATAAAATTATGAAACAATGGACTGACAGATTATGAAACAATGGACATTGGTAGTACTAACAGATTATGAAACAATGGACATTGGTAGTAACAGATTTGAAACAATGGACATTGGTAGTACTAACAGATTATGAAACAATGGACATTGGTAGTACTAACAGATTATGAAACAATGGACATTGGTAGTACTAACAGATTATGAAACAATGGACATTGGTAGTACTAACAGATTATGAAACAATGGACATTGGTAGTACTAACAGATTATGAAACAATGTAATTTTGAAACAATGGACATTCTGTATCAATTACATTTAACAGAAAAAAATGGACATTGGTAGTACTAACAGATTATGAAACAATGTATTTTGTCATTCTGTATCTTACATTTAAAAAATGTTATTCAACAATCTACGTTTCCATGTTTAAAAAATATAATCAGCTTTTCAAGTCATTTTTGCAACAAGATTTTTAATAATTTCACCCCAAGCAAGGTGATAATGCCACTAGGATGCAATGGGTTAAGGAGAGTGAAAGAATGTGAAAATTTCATTGAGGAGAAAAGACAATAAAGGAACAGGATTCAGGAAGACAGAAGACAGTGATTGGTGTTTGTGTGACTTCTTGCATTATTTGTGATGATGCCATCATATATTATGACAGAATATACATGGGGCGGGTCATGGCATGTTGAACATTGAGAACCAATATTTACAGGGTGGGTTTGGGTGTATTGGATGCTAAAAGGTTAAGTTGTATAGAGTCCGCTTCAACCACAATGTTGGACATGATCAGACAAAATGTGATAAAGAAGGCTGGTCTTTTGTTTAGCATAAACTTAATTCTTTGTTCAACGTTAAGATAATGTAAGATTTCTTAACCATGGCCAAAACAAATTTTATTTTTTTTCACGAGAGGCATTGGCCAAAGAAAGATCATATGCTTTTCTAAAACTTGGTATTACATTAATTGCCCTCACTAACCGTTTAATGACTATACAAATGTATTACCTGTATTAAGTTTGATTTCTTTATAACTTGTTTTTACAAATCTGGATTGTTGTTGTCAATGTTCTCAAGTTGATTAACAATGAATGTATATAGTGCTTATGTTTTTGGCTCCAACTTCTGTTGATCTCTTTGCAATTAGATTTATTCTAAGGAATTAATGGACTTATGGCCATATCATGTTGAAATACTGGTTCTCATACAATGACCAAATATCAGGTACTGTAAGGTTGGATGTGTTGGTGGATTAATGGATAACAGCTCAAAAATAGAAATTGGAGAGCAAAGTTCCAATTCCATTCAGGTTAATTATATTCACTGACATGCAAATATCCTTAGGAGAGATATGAATGCACCTCTTCTCTCTCCAGCTATGGATTAATTAGTTGGACTTGTACCAGTAAATCATTATTATCTCCGAAAAAATTCTTACAATCTAAAAATATTTTCTGGATTTAAATATCCTGCAAAATGTTGATAAGCCATAGAAAACAAATAAATCAATCAATTAAAGAATTAATGGATTTATTTTTAATGACATTTTTATTACTTCATGTGTCATTATAGTGGATACTCATATTTTAAATAGATGCCCCATTTTTATTTTTAAGTGTTTATTATGTCTATCAGCCTGCACATTTGAGAAATTTAAAGAAAATGTTCTCACTGGCTGTGAGATTGAACTTGTGTCCCACTTTGTAGGAGAAACCATTGTTCTAGCATGCTTTACTACTCCTCTGTAATCAGGTAATAGTCTGCCAGAATACATTTTTGGTCTAATTCCAGGATAATCTGTCGATTCAGCATAGTGTGCTTGATTTTTCTTCCCCATGATCCTTTCAGTGTTTTTCAGGTAGCTTGGCAGTGTCCATATTCTCTCCAAGTTCTCAATTTCATAAGGATAAAAAAAAAATTGTATGCTGACTTTGCTAAGATTTATGGCCAGAATGATTTTTCTGTTACCTAAACTTTTATCATTGTATTTTATTATTTTTCTATATAGCTTGGAAGAAATACAGTTCTGAAGCCTGTAAATTTGTTTTGAGGCCTTGGAACATGCTCCTTCCAGACTACTGTATAAAAGTAATTAAATGCCCTTTTTATTAACTTTATTTACTTTCAAATAAGATTTTACTAACATCAACAAGTGTTTTACTGTATATTCTTGTGTATAAGCCGACTTCATGTATAGTGCAATCCCTGAATATTTTTGCATGAATATTAAACCCCTCCAGAAAAAAAACCATGTATAGTGCAACTGGTCACTGAAAATGCATGATTTTTAACCTCTTCAAAAAAATTACCTGTGTATAATGCAACCCATATATTTTTTTAAAAAAAAAAAAGATCATAAAAGATTGCACTATACTTCTTACATATGGTAAGTGTTGAATATTTTCTACATTTCTTCTCTGTAACCTATTTTTTTTTTCTCATTTCCTGAATGTTGTAAAAGTTCTGAAGTTTGTTTGCAGCCAAAAATGTTGCAAAAAGAACAAATAAATCTTGACATTGATGGAGGAGAAAAACAAAGATTACAAAACAAATGTCAAAAAAGATGAAAAGGAGAAAAATAAAAAGCTCTGACATTGATTTGTGCATTTTTGTTTTTTCTTCTCTTTCTAATTGAGAGATTATGGGATAGCTCAGAGGTCACTTTACCTTCTGCAATAATGAAACTTCTGTAGGTTATAGTCTTGCTTTTATAAAGATATAAAAGCAAAGTGATATTTTTTTATTTTATGTAATAGAGAACATAATATATATTGACTTTTTACCTACTTTATTAAAACCTTCAACTTTGAAGTAATTGGCCATAATTAAGTGTTATTGACAAAATTCTTAAATTGACAAAGTTTGCAATAAACAATAAGAAAAGGAAGGAAAAAAAACAGGGCAAAATAATACTAAGTAAACAAAAATATACAAGTCAAAAATAGGCAAAGCATAAGACAAAAGGTTCACATAAAAAGGGATACAGTCAAGTGATTATAGTGTTCTGACTTCAAAACAAGAAACAACAAAAATATAATGGGTGAGACTAATAATTGGTTCATTTTTATTGGTTTTAGAAGAAATTCCAGCATGATTTGTTTATAAATTTGGGGAGAGGGATGATCTTAGCAGTCATTCCACTAAATTGGAACTAACTCTTAATTCTTTTAAGATAATGTGACACAAAAGCAAGAGTGAAGGATTTTATTTCTATCTTAAATGTTTCTTGTTTTATTAAAGAAAGATTAAGTCTGAAGTTGAGTTTTATAAGCAACAAATACTTGACTGAAAACAAACAAAAATATAAATAAATGAAAACTTTCCGAAACACGTGACAACAAAAATGAACATTGAGTATTTTCATCCAAATGAACATGGGATTGAGGAAGATCAGTTCTGAACTACCTTCTTGTCCTTTTGATATTAGTTGTTCAAGTTGTTAGCCACAAGTTGAGATCAGCAAAGAACTGGTAGAAACCAGAGTCAAAAGGGAAAGCTGTACTGTTTAGATTGAAATGGCAGAAGTTGATCACCTACCTAACTACTTGGACCAAGCAATGAAGCCCTGAATAAACACCTTTTATAATATTGGAAATGGGTTTCATGTCCTCATGTATTACCATGACATCTGTTGTCATCTTTCATTTCCCTAGTTTTTGGTGCACACCAGCACAAACAAGAATGGAGACACAACATAAGGTAATTATTGTCCAGTAGTGGAAAGATGGATAAGGGCCCTATTCTATGTTAACAATAAAATGAATTCAGTAAATATACAAAAATAAAAAGGAGCATAAGAAAAGGATGTGTCTTCTCACTGAACTTGTTTGACTTTACAATAAGCTAATTTTGAGAGAATTAGAATTCCTACCTGGATTCATTATTGGCATGCCTACAGAAGATAAGAAGAAATGAGAAAAAAAGGACTGAACATCAATTGTAAGAAACTAGAATCTATGGTAGTTGGCAAAAAGAAGAGCCCAGCATGTGAATTACAAATTGGAGATCCCAAAATCAAGCAAATACAAAAATTTAAATATCTAGGAAGTGTTTTAACACAGGACAGAAAGTGCAACACCAAAATCCAAAGGTGCATTGAGATAGCAAAAGATGCCTTTCAAAAGCTAAGCAAAGTATTAAACAGGAAAATTTTGTTAGAAACAAAGAAAAGAGTACATAAGTGTTATGTAATGTTGTTCCTCCTATATGTAAATACTGGGCAGTCTCATCACAAACGGAGAAGAAACTTGAAGCAATAGAAATGTGGTTCTACAGAAGGATGCTGATAATACCATGGACGTGATATTTTTGTAGATGAGCAACAACAAAGTTTTAGAAAAAAATGGTAACAAAAAGGACACTTATACTTAGAAACAGACAATTGAAATTTTTAGGGCACATAATGAGAAAAGAGGGCTTAGAAAATTTGACACTCACATGTTGAAGGCAAGAAGAGTGAGAAAAGCAGTACATAGCCTACTTAATGAGCTTTTGTAAATTGTTAGCAGAATAAAAATTAGGAGAGATAGTTAAATGACAAAATTTACTAAGAGCTATAAAGGACAGGAAGTTGTGGGGAGCCATGTACTGAAGAAACACAGCACATAGAAGAATAGGAGGAAATTATTAATTTAACCCTAACTCTCAGCTGGGGTAACTTTAGATGATGGAGTAAATAGCTAAACTGACTTTAAATGATGAGCTTGATATTAACATTTTTATAATGTAAACCTCATCTTTTTCTGTATCTCCCCAAACAATATATCTTTTTCTTTTTTGTTTCTTTCAGCCACTAACAAGTTGTATGCATGTGTAGTAAGTAGAGAGGACCACTTCGTTCGAAAGGATGGTGGAACTTTTGATGCAGAAGAATTTGAAACCCATCCTGAGAGATATCTTTCTATTTTTAGCCATAAGGTAGGTGTTATTTTTTAAATACATCGTAGCATAATTTTTCTCATAATAATAGCATTAAAATGCTTTAAGTTGAAGAATAAAGCAATTTCCAGTTCAGTCAGATCACTAATTTTTTTTTTTTTTTTTTTTTTATTAAATACAAACTTGTCTGCAGTCTTTTCCATCAGTCATAGTAGGACACAGTGTTGATACTTGCATAGTAATTAAGCTTCGTGATAATTAGCATTTTCAAATATAATGTAAATTATATAAATAAGAAATGACTTGACATTGATTAAAGGCAACCAAATGTGGCATTTAAATAAATATATTGCTTAAAAACATATTTACTGCTTTAAGTATTGACTTAAAAAAAAAACAATTTTTTGCTGAATTCTTTTTCTTTGCATGACTGTTACTTTAACCCATACATTTGACAATGGTCAGAAAGTTGTTGGTGGCTAAATGAGCCTTGGTTTTTTGGTTTTTTTTTTTTTTTTTTAATGAGCCCTTTTTTAAATCAATAGCCATTGCTGTAGAGTGAAGGTAGTTAAAATAATAGCAGTGTCAAGGGAAAAACCATTCTTTTAACACATCATATTTTGGGGTTTTTGTGAGCACAAAGGCTGAAGACTGCTGAATAATTATTATATACTGGTATGGCACTCATCACTAACGATAAAATAATATGTAATATAATTATTGCATGTCCAGCATTTTTCATGAAGATACATTTAATGTTTATTTTTTATTTCCTGTCAGATTGCTCCCTATGCTTCTTGTATTGTGAATGGGATCTACTGGGCAGTGAATTCCCCACGTCTTATAACAATCCCTGATGCCAAGAACTTGCTGAAGCCTGCCTTAACACCCTGGCTGCCTTCAATGAGTGGCTGCCCTCATCTACCTCATCGATTACTTGCCCTCTGTGACATTTCGGCTGACCCTGGTGGTTCTATTGAGTTCATGAAAGAATGTACGACCATTGACCGTCCATTCTGTTTGTATGATGCAGAAGCACACATGGAAACTGAGAGGTGAGTACTCAAAGCTAGAGTGGGGAGGGAATCTTGCTTCCTCTGACTGATTTTTGGATTTTCTATAATCAAATACCATTTATTGGCACTACTTAAATTGGTCCACTCATTAAAAAGAAAAATGGTAAGAATTTGGGGTGGGGAATAATTTTTTTTTAATTAGCTTTCATTAGACCTTCCTCTATCCACATCATTTGTCAGAATCAAAAAAATTTGTCAGAATCAAAAAAATTTTTTTTTTTTTTGTCAAGTGTGTGGGGAGACTTTCAAATCAATCACAGACTTTTTTTAAAGAGTTATCTGTACTTTATTTTTATTTACAAAAGTCAAATTTACAACTGTGCTTACATCATTGATAACTACGTAATACTGATGTTGTCCTTTTTCCCCATTTCGTAATAATATACAGTTATAAATGACATGAATACACTTTCAAACTTGACATTTGTAAATAAAAATAAAGTACAGATGACTCTTAAGTCAGTAATCGATTTGAACAGCCACTCTCTCCCCTAAAATGATAAAAAAAATCAATATTTTTTTTTATTCTGACAAATATCACAGGTAGAGGAAATTCTAATGAATGTTCATCTACAAAAATTATCATAAAAAATAAAACTTCCCTGTTTTGTTTTTATGCGTGCACAACTTAAATTAAACTTAAATTAAATAATGCCCATTTATTTATATATATTTGTGTAGACATATGAAAATACTGAAATGTTCAGTTCCCAGACCAAACCAGAATTCCTCCATCCACCAAAGAATGTCATGTTTATTATATGCTTTTTTTTAGAATGAAAACTGTTTCAAAATAAATGTTATTTATATTTTCTTGTATTAGTGAAATTTGAATAAAAATGTTTCTTTGTCTATTCCCCTTTTTAGCTGTAGTTCAGTACAGCTATGTACTTACTGCTATCTGCAGGGCCGATCCTAGGGTCTCTACACCTCTCTACTACATGTCGATTTCAAAGTTTCCCAACCAAACCCTTGAAGAAAACTGGGGAGGGGTCAGTGCTTTTTTTTAAATTACCAAAAATCAGGGAATTTATCCAATTTAAATGAAAATTTCAGTTCATATTCATTAATTATTTACTTTTATAATGAATAAGTTGTTTTATCTGAGAAAATATTCTTTTTATCATTTTAAAATCAGTATATCATATGTTGAAATCTTTAAACATTTTTATATTTTAAGCGATTATTTTCTCGATTTTATCTTTCTAGAAATGTAAAAAATAGGGACTAGAAATTTTATTTTAATTACTAGCGGTGAACTTCTGGTTTACTATTAGTAAAATAAAAAACACCAGGGATCCTCCTTAGTGGATGATCTTGGAATAAAAAATGATTTTACCAAGATATATTAGCCTCTTAATTGATTTAAAAGAACAGTTCAGAAAGAAAATTACAATTTAAAAAAAGATAAGCACTACTGATCCCCTCCCCACTAGGCATGGGGCCCCCATGTGGTTGAGATGTTCAGGGTTGTAAGCACTGGCCCTGTCGGTTATTATAGTTGATGATTGACAATATAACTTAGGTAGAAAAAAAGTAAAAAGTACAAAAAACAAAAATTGCTGAAACTAGCCCTTTTGGGGCTCCTAACTCATTGAGGGTTCCTGTGTAGAACACAACTCACCGGCCATACAGAGACATGATGTATATTATTAGTTGATGGCCATAAAATGGTGCTGAAAAAAATGGCAGAGGCCACAAGGGGGGCCCCTATAAAAACGTACTCTCACTGGACACTCATTTTGGGGGCAGATGCTGTTGAATATGTTTCTCTACTGTGTTTCTATTGTAGATTCTTCACATATTATGCAGGATCTTTTGGTAACTAAGTTTGTTAATCCTGTTATAATCCAGATTTGACTTCCTGTAACTTTTGGCTTTCACAATGTTAAAATCACCATTGAAAAATGGAAGTGGGTGATGAGATAAGTGTACAAAGTTCTAAACTTAGTCTTTTGAAGTAAACTAAGACACTGTTGCTCAAGTTAGGCTTTTTTATTCATCAATTTTAAATGTCTAGATATTTTTCAAGCAGATTTTGTAATCAGCACCAGGCAAGTTAATTACACTTTGGACCTCTTTATAGACCAAAAGAATAATTAACTCGCTAGTGTGTTTCACAAAGTATGTATATGACAAAGCTGTGGTAAAGGTAACTCATTTAGGAGAAGGCTAGCACCAAATAACAAAATTTTTAATATCTGGCTTCAATTCTGGAAAGATTAAACTAATGTCTAATGGAAATCTTTTAGCAATCCACAGATAAAGAAAAACACCCATCACCTAGCAGATTAACTATTTGTGATGTTAATAGTAGCTAATAAAAACTTACATGATGAAAGTTTCTAATGTTGCAATCAGATGAGGTAAACTTTGAATCATCAACATGTCTAAAAGGGTGCATTCATTGACATCCCTGGACAAATGTGACAATTGTAATAAACAGTAGGACAAAAGTCATTTTGGTCTTCAATCTGACACAGGAAACAGAAAATAATAAATTTTTTTTTTTTTTTTTTTTTTTTTTTCATTAACACTTACTACTTGAATTTTTTCTGCATAGCTCACTATTTGAAAGCTATATACCTCAAGCCTTCAAAGTGCAACACTAATATCCAAAGGTGCATTGAGATAATGAAAGATGCCTTCCAAAAGCTATGCAAAGTATTAAGGAATTAGAAAATTTCATTAGAAACAGGGTACTGAATTGTTACTTAATATCAGTCCTCCTATATGTTAGTTAATGCTAGACAATCGCATCAGATGGAGAATATGTGAGCAATGACAAAACATTAGATAAAATGGAAACAAAAAGGATGCTTATACCTAACATCAGGAAGAGAGTTAAAATTTCTAGGGCACATGATGAGTAAAGAGGGCTTAGAAAATTTGATACAGATTGAAGGCAAGAGGGACAGCGGTAAACAATGCATAACCTACTGGAGTGAGTCATGAGAGGTAGCTGTAGACAGAGTAGTGTGTAAAAGTTAAATATACCTCAAGACACCAGGCAAATAAATAGATTGGTGGATGTGTAACGTATCTTATTGACAGGCAAATAGGGTATTTTCTCTCTTTCAGACTTGTCAATTTCCTTTACAAATTATTTATCTAATGGCAGGACCCCACCTGTCATTGATTGGAGAGGGGAAAAAAAAGGGTATAAAAAATGAAATCACTTTCAAAATACAAGAGTTTTATTTACATTCATGTATTTGTTTCTCTTTCTATTTGACATTACAGAAATGCCTCCAGGTACGTATTTCAGTTGTCATCACTTCCACTTTTACCTATAAACTAATAAAGACCCTCTTTTGGAATGAATAGTTAAATATCTCACCAAGACATTTAATAAACTGTTATTTAAAAGGAACAAACAAAAAATACATAGATTGGATTGTATACAACAAAAAACCTTGTAAAATAGGATTGACTATATTGATTTAATTTTTTAAGACCAAATGTAACAGTTAGTACAGAATTGTAATGGACAATAATTCAAAATTCTTAGAGAAAATAAAAAGAGGAATTTTAATAATTTCACAAGTTTTATTTATGGAATTTAGAAAATAGGTGAAATTAAAACTCTTAGATTTTTGTCTAAATAACACTGAATATATGTTAATACCAAAAGAATTGACTATTTCTGTAGATTCTAAGAAACTGAAAATAATATTGAAAACTCTCTCTCTGTCCCAGTTTTGTTAGTCTGATGATTGGCATATTCAAATAGAAAGATGTTAAAGTAATCAGATTGATTTTTGCCAGTATCAAGTCAAATATATTATTTATGAATAGGAGCTATTGGCCATCCCACTGCTGCACAATTCAGATGGTCCATTTACTGATACAATGTTATTTTTTTAAAATCATTTCACCTCAAGCAAGGCAATAAAACCACTGACACAAGGTGGGCACTGAGTGTGAGGGAATATGAGAAAAAAAAAACGGCACTATTCAGAAGAGAAAACAATAAAAGAATGTGAATTAAGAAAACAGAAGATAACAAGTGACATTGCATTTAAATTTTTGAAGATCAAATTTGACTAACTGGAAAACAAGACGTCATAAGAGAATTCCACAGGTGATAAATGTGAGAGAAGAAACTGTTAGCAAAGAAACTTAGGGTTACATCTAGCATTTTAACTTTAAAATGTAACCTTGCCACCAATCTAGTAATGTACTTAAATTCATAAATTTTAGGTACCATGAACAATTACTATGAAAATATTTATAGAAGGTGACTGAAGCTGAGATGCTAAAAAAGGGTTTTGCAGATTCTTTGGATTTTTATCAAGAATCTCTTAAATAACAGAAGCACCAGACTAGATGAAAGTCTTCAATTAATGATTTTCCTATGATCTTTTTGTCATTTATGTGATGTTATATTTTTGCTGACTTTAGTTTATCCAATAGTTTTTTATTTAGATAGAAACTATTTATTACCATTTAAGAGACCAGAGCTTTTGACTTGCAGAAATGTAGTTATCATCAATTTGCATAGAACTGCATATCAAAATTCAAGAACTTAACAAATTGTTAGATATGGTATTATAAAAACAAAATTATTAAAAAGCTATACCATACTGTAGCTAGAATAGCAAAAATAGAATATTTATAATTGTCAGGAAAAAAAAAAAGGCTAGAGGAAATAAATGTGTTCAATAACATTAAGGTTTCAAAGGTCCATTGTCTGAAGAAAAGAAGTTGTCTGTGGCTAAATAATAGCTGTGAAAATTATATATAAAGCCTTTACACACAGAAAAAAAAACTTGTTCTTATTTATTATCAAGACAGTTTCTTCTTGTTAGAAAATTATTTAAAATATGAAGAGTTATTGAAAATTGAAAAATAAATTCCAGATTATTTTTTTTTTTATCAATTATATATTTATTTTTATTCCTGTCCATAAGATGTTACTTGGTTTCATACCCTAGGCAGTCATAAGGTAAATACTAGGGGTTGTTTGTCGTAACATT